ATTTATAACCTTAAGAAATTGAGGTTTTGATTAACGGTTTTGATTAACTTGCTGTCCCTTTTCTCAGGTATTCACTGTAGGCCGCCTCCAGCCATCGCCAATGGAGATTTCTTTAGCAGTAACAGAGAGTATTTCCAGTACGGAGTGGTGGTGACCTATCGCTGCAAACTTGGAGAGAGAGGGAAAAAGCTGTTCGACCTCGTGGGCGAGGCATCCATACGCTGCACCAGCAAAGACAACCGAGCAGGCATCTGGAGCGGACCTCCCCCTCAGTGCATCGTACCCAACAAATGCACGCCCCCAGACGTCGAAAATGGAATAAGGGAGTGTACATCTGTGATACATTTTTTCTACTTCCTCTATATTTTGCCCTTTCCTGATTCAATACTGGCAAAAACATATCTATATCCTAAATATCCACATTCTCTAAATTATTAGCATAATGTAGAACACATTTGATTATCTTTATTACTTCTGAATCTGTGATTATTGTATTTGTCATGTGTAATATTGTGTAATTGTGCTTTATTCCTTTTTTATTGGTTGTGCCAGAGCTTTTTGTTTTAACTTATTTGATGAAGAGTCTACACCTATTACTAACCAATAGAATAAAGCCAAGTACCTCTACAGAGAGAGAACTGAATTACCAATAGTGAAATAACATATAAAGTCTCAGTTAAAATGAGAAGCATGTGGACTCTGATACTACATGGACACATTTATTGAAATAATGTTAATTGAGAAGAGCAGAAGCAATAATGCTGTGGCTACTTAATTTACACTTGTGTAAAAAACATGTCTTTACATTATAAAACATTAGACAAGAGTAGAAGTGTTGTGGATATTCATATTTGGAAATTTGGGCTTTTTATAAAACTGGTTACCAAAATTTATAACCTTAAGAAATTGAGGTTTTGATTAACGGTTTTGATTAACTTGCTGTCCCTTTTCTCAGGTATTCACTGTAGGCCGCCTCCAGCCATCGCCAATGGAGATTTCTTTAGCAGTAACAGAGAGTATTTCCAGTACGGAGTGGTGGTGACCTATCGCTGCAAACTTGGAGAGAGAGGGAAAAAGCTGTTCGACCTCGTGGGCGAGGCATCCATACGCTGCACCAGCAAAGACAACCGAGCAGGCATCTGGAGCGGACCTCCCCCTCAGTGCATCGTACCCAACAAATGCACGCCCCCAGACGTCAAAAATGGAATAAGGGTGTCTGAGAACAGAAGCTTGTTTTCCTTAAATGAAGTTGTGAGGTTTAGGTGTCAGGCTGGCTTTGTCATGAAAGGACCCTCCAGTGTGCGATGCCAAGCCCAAAACAAATGGGAGCCGGGGTTGCCCAGCTGCTCCAGGGGTGAGTCTGACTGAGATCTTAAAGGGGCCTACATATGGCATGAGTTGTAGGAAGATAAGGAGGTCAGCGTTTGTTCTGGCGGAAAGATGTGTGGTGAGCAGTGTGAGTAAATTTTGGGGGGTGAAGCATGAAATTAAAATGTGTGTGGGTATGTCTGTGTATGTGTGTTTGCGTGTACACTTTTGTTCATATATTTATTTTGAGAAGCAAGATCTTAATCAAAGAAGGAGACATTTGAGAGTCTCATATTGAGCAATTCTCAGGGCAAAGTACCAGCTCCAATGTCTCTCAATGAGATTGAAAAATGATATGGACTTGATGATCAGCTGTGTAATAAGCACTTGACATGCATTATTTCATCTGCGGTTTATAACCTCCTTTGAAATAATGTTTATATCCATATGACAGTAAAGTCACCTTGGTCTTTCAGATGTTAAATAAATCATCCAAATCACATGCTACCAAGTGGCATACTCAGAAATAGAATGCATATGTGTCAGACCCCAGAGCCTGGATGTTGTGGATTCTTTCCATACTTCTAGCAATATCTATCACAGAAAGAAAGAAACTTGCTTATGAAGACATATCACAGCCTCAGAATAGTCACAGAGATTTTAGAGTTTGTCTTTTCTGGTCCACTTCCTATATTTTATTGCTAAGAATCTGAAGTTGAAATTAAAAGTAACTTGCTCAAAGTCAAACAGATTCTTTATTCATCTTTAATTAGATATATATTAGGTTGAAGTTCACGAGTTCTGATACCCTCAGCACACACCAAAAGGACTATGAATGGAAGCAGCCAGACCTTGACTTAAATACTTTCTGGGCAATAGGCTCTCTCATTACAAGGACTAACTTATTGAAGGGATTTTGTTCTCAAGCTTGTCTTATCTTCTTATGCCACAATAGCTGGTTTAGGAATGGATTGATGAATATCATGGGTAATATATTGGGACAGAGAGGGAGCTTACAGTTCTTCCGCCAACCCACATCAACCTTATGCAATCACTCAGAGAGCAGCTGGGAGTACAAACAGACAGAGACATAAATGTTGATTATTACTATGCTTTGAATTTCCAAGTACAATAAAAGAGACAAAGAGAAATCCATTAAACAGATTTCAGCTCAGGAAACCTTCTCATTACCTGAAAGATGAGGCTGTATTGCATTGTCATTCCAGCAAATATGTGGATGGAGAAGCCCGCCAACACAAATAACTTTATACTGAATAACCAGCACTAGAAGAAGGGACTCCCATACCTGGTGCACCTATGAATGTATTTTAGACCTTGTGCCAGAAAGAAATAGATTCTAATTCTCTACCTTGAAGGCTTTGACTAGATCTCTCCTCTATTCTTAACTTCTACATTTGTAAAATGAGAGGGTTGGAGTATCATGTGTCTTTGTTAGATTTGAACTTCTTTAATTATGAGTCTCTAACTCTTTAGAAGGACTAAAGTTTAGCAAAAGATATTTTCCCATATCTGAACAGGAACTTTGGACTTATTCTTTTCCCAGTATGTCAGCCACCTCCAGAAATCCTGCATGGTAAGCATGCCCTAAGGGACAAGGACAACTTTTCCCCTGGACAGGAAGTGTTCTACAGCTGTGAGCCCGGCTATGATCTCATAGGGGCTGCTTCTCTGCACTGTACACCCCAGGGAGACTGGAGCCCAGCAGTTCCCAAATGTGCAGGTACCTTCATTCTCATCTGGTTTGCAGATGAATCTCTTTGTACTTCACATAACAGTCTTACTCCTGATTTTTTTTCCTTTAGTGAAGTCATGTGCTGACTTTTTGGACCAACTCCCTAATGGCCACGTGCTCCTTCCACTTAATCTTCAGCTTGGGGCAGAAGTATCCTTCGTTTGTGATGAGGGGTGAGTGTGACCTGGAATAGAGACCAAGGACTCAATGCTGGATGCTAATATGCTGACACCCTAGGCAATGGGGATTTATTTTAAAAGGGGGCTGACTAATGGAAAAGAAGTAATAAAAGAGCTTAATATCTGAAACAAAGTTTGGAAAGTATGGTAAGAACCATATGAAACCATGAATAGATGTTACTTGAAACATGAGCATTAGTATTTAAAAGGAAAAATGGTAAATAAACTGAACAGTAGAAATATAACAACAGATCTTGACTATTTGTGTGGATTAAGTATATGGATAAATAGTAATTTGTAGGCATAAAGAGATAAATATTCCAGAAGCATTAAAGTTTGATAATTAAAAGAGTGTTATTATAAGTAACATGCAAGGAACGTTTTAGGAAATTTTTAAACCAACAGTAGAATTTAGAACAGAAATAAAAGAGTAAGTAGTATTTTTTAATCTAATTATATATCATCTAATTAGTATTGAGTTGGCTGAAGGATCATAAAGACATGCTCATGTTTCAAGTAACATCATTAACTCTTTCTGTGAATCTAAATGATCTTGGTATTATGTTCCAACATCACTGGCAAGTACAAAGAATGAACCACAGAGCAGTTGTTCCCAATGTATTCTGTCAACCAATGGTCGTGATGCCAATTCAATGACAACAGGAATCCCCAATGTGGGGTACAGTGAAAGGGGAGACTTTATTTAGTGCAAACAGCTCAATGGTAATACAGCTCGGCTGTATAATAACATGGCTGTGAGATAACTCCATAGTGTTACAGCTCAAGTAGGATACAGCATGGCTGAGGAACAGCATGGCTGTGAAGCCACCCTGGGGCAAGGTGGCCCTGGGGCCCCTCTCTGGCTAGACAGCTTTACTATGCTACAGTCCATCAAGACAGCTCTAGCCAGAGAAATGCAGACTTAGGTGGAAAGAGAAAGTGTACTCCCAGAGCCAGAAGGGAGCTGACATATTAAAGTCCCTGCCTCTTGTCCCTGGTTGGTCCATAGTCATGTAAATGAGGACTCCAAATTTTAATTGGTCCAAAAAGCATTCTCCTGATTGACCATAACGGAGCCACTCTGACTAGTCAGTGAAGATGCCAATGAGGATATAGCTGTGCAGCTCCAAATGGATGGGGAAAGCCTCAGTCCTGTTGGTTGAAATATGATTTCAGGAACTCTATAATGGTTTGTTCAAATGGCAGGAGCACAATGCAGGTGGCAGCTCAGTGGGAAACAGGAATTCCAGTGTAGGCGGTTAAGTACAGGCTTCTCCCTGAAGCATGGCTTGCATGTAAGGCCCCTGTTTGTTAACAGCTGTTAAGCTCAGCCTAATTTCAGACCAGTTAGGCACCAGGAGCCATTATTAACAGGTACATTCATTCTTCGGGTCAACAATTTCAAGAACTCCTTGACAGGCATTAAATATCAGTCACTCGATAAAGACCTGCAGGCAATTCAGGAGGCCATCGGTCTAACAATAAACCAGATGTTTTAAGATAATTGTGCTCCAAAGAATTCTCTCTTCTCACCTTTTCTTCTTTTTTCTAGTTAATTTGACTCTACTCTTCAATAATCTAGATATGCCATAAGTCTCATTTAGGAATATTCCAAACGTATTGGGGAAAACAAAAACAAAAACAGTCTCTGATATCTTTCCTCACATTCTTTGATTTTCCAACCTAAATCAGGATCTGTTTTCTCCCTGGTCCGCTAAGAGAAGAAAATGCTACATTTTGCATTAAACGAGTTTCTTCTCATAACAAAAAGGGGGCTGCCTGAGAGTAGAGAAAGATGACCGGAAAGTCTGGGACCAGACCAAGGAAATGCCTATCTGTGTTTTTTGTTCCTTCTTCAGTTCAGGCCTTTCTGATTATTGAGCTTTGGCAGTTGTTATTGTTTTGTCCATCATTGGAAGTTGCAATCTTTCAAAATATTTTGGTTCTGAGCCTCTATCAGCTGAGAAACCAAATGAGCTGAGCTTTTTCGCCCGAGTTTATTGATATTAAATTGTATTTCAACAAACGAGAAGTTAATATCTGTCTATGAAGGGAAGAGAGAAATTGTGTGTTCACCCAGTCCCTACTGCTTTTGTTCTTTAGGTTTCATTTAAAGGGAAGTTCAAGTAGTTACTGTGTCTTGGTTGGAATGAAAAGCCTTTGGAATAACAGTGTTCCTGTGTGTGAACGTGAGTAAAAAAATATATCTATTCTGGTCTGCATCTTTCTTCTTGGGTTTTTTTTTCTTTCCAATTTCTTAATGCATTTTGCCCTATGAAATAATCAAATGTCTACCTCTCTGTTTATCTTCATTTTTGATATAAAAATTTCTGTGTTGGAATAGTTCAAAGGAATGTTTTTTGGGAAATAAATCTGAACATCGTGTGTTTTGGAGTACCACCCTATAAATGTTTACAAACATACTAGGTGCTATAAATGGGAAGAAATGCTTCATAGATGAAGAGAAATTTATACTCTAAAGGTTTGCCAAATTTTCCCTTTTTCTTGTCAATAGTGATGGTCACACTTCAGCTTTTCTATCCTTTCCTAAATCATCCAGTCATTCACATACTCATTCAATAATTTTTTAGCACCTACAATACACCAAACAGTCTTCTAGACACTGGTAGTATGCCTGTAAAAAAGAAAAACTAGGTCCTTGCTCCCTTGTTGTTTATATTCTTCAGCAGAAAGAACGATTAAAAAAAAAAAGGTAAACAAGAAAACAGATAATTTCAAATAATACTGAGTGTTATTAAGAAAAAAAACAAGGTAATGCATAGAGTAGTTAATGTGAAGGGAGATAAGGAAAGCTAGGAAAATAATAAAGTTCCAATTTAAAATGAGGTGATTAAGGAAGTCCTTACTGAGAAAGTAACATTTAAGCACTGACAGCAATTAGTTGACTACCAATGTGCATACATAGAGGAAGAACTTTCTATTCAGATAAAGCAGAAATTGCAAAAGTCTAAGGTAGAAATGTTCTTGGAATTTCCTTTGAAAAGCCTGATCTGACATTTTCTCAGAAGCTTATATGACTGGTACAGAGTGAGCAAATACAGGAGTAGTAGGAGGTAATAAAGAGAAGTAACTCTACATACTGTAAAAACTTAGGTGTTCACTCTGAGCAATATGGAAAGCCATGAAGTATTAGGAGTAGAAAAGTAACATGATCTAACTTATTTTTAATGATATCATTCTGGCTACTCTAGAGAGAATTAAGTTGAAAGGGATATGTCTTAGATTGGAGATTTCCCAGAAAACAGCACCAGAGGTAAAGTTCATGTTATAATGTTCAATTGGAGGGTGCAATCCCAGGACAGAAAGAGTTGAGAAGGACAAAAAAAGGAGGCAAGGAGGAAAGATCTGCAAATAAAATATATTGTGTTGCCAAAGTGGCCATAAGCTTTACAGGAAAAAGAGAGAGTTTTTTGGTCATATTAAGACATCTGGAAAGGCTCTATGGATCCGGAACTATCCATTAGGAATAGAAAAAACAATTTATCTATTGTAAGTTTTCTGTATCCTGTCTCCTGTTTATCCCAAGGGTATAAAGCCCCTGGCTTTCGTGTTGTATTAATTTAACCCTCTGATCAGACTCTGGGGACATCTCACACAACCTGCTGCATGGCGCTCCATCTAAGTCTAGATGTGGTAGAAGAAGCCGGAATGGCCATGGATCTAGTTGTGTTGACTTGGATGTGAGATGTGCTTTGACTTCTACTGCAATGGGACAGTAGAGGCCATACAGTAGCCCATCTTTCACCCTTGGAGAGGCCGAAACAGCCAGTGTTGTTAGGAACTGAGGTAACAGTGGTATCAGTCAGCACTCTTGATTGGGAAAGCAGCTGAGGGGACATAAGGCAGGTGTAACCAAGAAAATCTAGAGGATACAACTGAGGGTATAAGCTGGGTAGCTACAGCAAAAATCGATCAGAGATGTTGGCCCAGGATAGCAGTGGGGGAGGTAATATGAAGTGGTTAAATCCTGGATACATTTGAAAGGTAGAAATGACAGGATTTGCTGATGGTTCAGATATAGATATTAAAATAGAGACTAAATGAGATCACCTAGGGAGTCAGTGTGGCCATAGAACAGATGCATGGTCTAAGTCTTATAAATCTAACAATAAGAACTCAGAAAGATGATAAGCAATCAGCAAATGAGATGAAAAAGAAGCAGCCAATGCACTAAGAGAAAAAAATAGGAGAATGAAGTATCTTGGAAAACAAGTGAAGAAATTCTTTTAAGAATATGAGACCAAGCAACTGTTTCCAGTTCTACAGAGAGGTCAAATAAGATGAGGACAGAAAATTATCATTAGGTTTAGTGACTTGTGGAGGTAACAAGTGACCCTGGCAAAAGCAGTTACAGTAGAGTTGTGGGGGCATATGCTTGATAGGAATGAGTTCAAAGGAGAATGAAGGAGAGGAATGGAAGTTCATGGACGATATCTTAGAAGAATTCTAATGTAAAAGGAGCAGAGAGATGGGACTATAGTTACAAAGGGAAGTGGAATTAAGGGAGCTATTTTTTGTTTTTATGATGACAGAAATATAAAGTGTTAAATAAAGAAACACTACCAATGTATCCAATCTGTCCATGTGTGTCTTGGTTGGAATGAAAAGCCTTTGGAACAGCAGTATTCCTGAGTGTGAACACGAGTACAAAGAATAATTGTGCAGACTGGGTATCTCTCTTTCTTTTTATTTCCAGTGAGTTTTGCCTCATGGAATCACCTGTTGTCTGGATCTTTATTTAACTAAATTATTAATAAAATATTTTTTGTTGGGAAAATTTCAAAACAGGTCATGTAGGTCTTATATATGATATATTTATGTTACTAATCTGTAAGTCACTAGGTTAATGCCAGTGTCAAAGTTTATGGAAAACATGTGAGGAGACACTGGATGACATGAAGGCCCACCAAAATTTATTTATTTACTTTTGAGTTTTGCCACCTGGGAGTAATTTCTCTTAAATTTGTATGTCTTTTTATCTCCTCACATATTTAAACTATTTATTCATCCTGTTATTCAGTCCAGAGCATTTATTGAGGAGGGGCTTCCTACGTGCCAGGAGTTCATGTGGGGAGAGTACCGAATAGGAAAGACATATGCCTGCTCTCTCGAGTTCGATTTCTTGAGGAGGCAGACCATGAATTAAGAAAATAAGTAAACATATAAAAAATTAAATACATAAGACAGAATATTAAAAGTGATGTGTTACAGATAGAATAAAACAGTAATATGATAAATTAGTACAGTACAGGGAGGTGAGTCCATATTTTAAATGATGAAGTGAGCTTCCTTAAATTTTTAAACCACTCACTTAAAAAAAAAAACATTTGGAAGATTCAGAAATTGAGAAATGGGTATTTTATACACCAAGATATTACTGATTTATCTTACTTTGTTTATTAATAATTTGTTTGTTTGTTAATAAGGCAAGACCTATTTTTAATCCACTTTTCCTGATGTTTGGAAATGTTCATTTTAATTTGTATTTTGATAAAATACCTTGCTAGAAACTATTAGAACATTTTATGGTAGTATGGTGGAACTTTATGAGAACACTCCATGTGTATAAAACTTAGAAATCCAGGAGACTCAACCTTCCTGACACATATAAAGCTGAAAATAAATTTTTAAGTAAACTTTGGATAAACACAAACACATAGTTGAAATCCAAATATGAGAAGTCAATCATTGTTTGATATACTAAGACTCTCATTTTTTTTATACATACAATTCTGACAAGTTTGGGTATCTCTTCTTAAATTTATGTAAGATTAGAAGTAATGAATTAGTTTTAGGGAAGGAACTGCTAGAAACAGATACACTAACCGCAAGAAGAAATGACAGCAGATAGCTCAGAAGAAAGAAAAAAATGAAAAAAGGAAGGGAAAAGGAAGCTTCCTGGTGCCCTTTAATTTGCCTATAAAGAACCCTATTAGAATCAACGTAGTATTCTTTTGACACTATTAGTTTTTGGTGTTGGTATGGATGATAAATGTCATGAGTCATCAAGAAAGAGTTATATCTGCTAAAAATGATAGTCCATGTCTAATAAACTTCACCAAGATTTCCCTAAACTTCAGATCTTTGAAGGCCAAAACTGTCTGTCTTGTACCCCATTGTCAGCCCAGGACTGTGACAATACCTGACACAAAGTAGGAGATCAAATGACTGCTGAAATATTAATTATCTTCCAAATTGATTAAAAACTTAGCTACCTGGAGGGTCTTTTGGACTTTCGCAATAAACAGTAAACTAAGTCTCACTTTTCCTAGTTCCTTCTCAGAAAAAGCTTTTTATATTTAAATTCTATCCACCTTAGTTATGTTCTCATAGAATGAAAATGTGTTTATGACACAATCCCAGGACACCATTATTGTATAATCATTGTAGTTGAAACTCTAATGGAACCTAATGCTCTTTTTTTCTTTCTAGAAATCTTTTGTCCAAATCCTCCAGCTATCCTTAACGGGAGTCACACAGGAACTTCTCTCGGAGACATTCCCTATGGAAAAGAAATTACTTACACATGTGACCCCCACCCAGACAAAGGGATGACCTTCAACCTCATTGGGGATAGCACCATCCGCTGTACAAGTGACAGTCAAGGGAATGGGTTTTGGAGTGGCCCTGCCCCTCGCTGTGAACTTTCTGTTCCTGCTGGTCAGTGTACACTTCTCCTCAATACAGATGGATCAGTATATCTGGGCAAGAACCTCTATATCTTTTTCCTGACAGTCGTTCATGCTTCTGAACACAGCTTTGTGATGAATATCACATACAGAATTGCCTGCTAGGCAAATAACAGATGGTTCTAGCAGCGCTTCATGTCCCAGTTGGTGGTATTCTAATGACCCTTCCCGCTGGGGTGAGGAGTGTAGGATGGTGAATAGAGGAAGGAATAAAGAGTGGAGGGAATCAGTGAGGCACAGATTTTATAGAGAATATTTTCAAAGCAATGAAAACAAATGCTACATAAAATATTCAATTATGCCATCTCTATTACTAGTTGGTTTTATACTAGATAGATAGGTGTGCAGAGCAAACATGCATGATGATGATTGTAATTTACATTAGAACTGGTAATGCTATAGAAATAATCAGGAAAGTCCAATGTAGGCATCTACACTCCTTTTGTTATTTCTAAGTATTCTGCTCAGCCTGTGACTGCATTTTGTTGACCCTTCATCTCACTTCTAACAAAGGGAACTCAGGCTGCCCTAGAGGAGTGGAGTCTAAAATTGTGCTGTTGGTCTCTGTAGCTCATTCCTTTTCATATTAGAATGGCTTTAAATGACAGTATTTGTCATCGGAGGATCCTTTGTGGCTGTGATTGTCCACACAAGCTCCATCCTCCAGTAAAGACAGACAATACTGAATTGGTAGTTTATAGATCCCACTGGTACTTCCGTCTGGTGCAGTTTGCAAGTAGAGAATACAGGCTGAGGGGTCTGGGTTTAGATAATCAGTCTTTCAACTGAAAGGCAAACATTTAGTGTCTTGGGACCTGTCTGCCTGCATTTTCATGTGATTCTAATAGTCAGAGATATTATTAGATGTGTTGATGTGTTCTTACTTCTATGTTTAACTGAATGTCTTTTCTTGTGTTTTGGGGGAAACTTGTTCTCAGCATGTTCACATCCACCCAAGATCCGCAATGGGCATCATGTTGGAGGACATACATCTCCATATCTTCCTGGGATGACAGTCAACTACACTTGTGACCCAGGCTACCTGTTGGTGGGGAATGCCTTCATTTTCTGTACACACGAGAGAACCTGGAGTGAATTTGATCTTTATTGCAAAGGTATCTCTTATTCTTGCTGGGTTTTTGTGGAAAATTGATGCATGAGGCTGAGAGACCCTTTCTGGGAGGATCATGAAATGAGTATCAATAGTGGAGGTGAAAAGCAGAACATTAGGAAGGAAGATTGCCCAAGGATCCTCAGCTCTACCAAATAAGTAGGAAGAACTGATGGAATTTCCAGTAATATGATAGATTTTGAACATATTTTAAATGCTTTACAGGCTTTTAAATAATAAAAAAATTTAGCTCAAGAGGATCTCCAAGGGTCACAGGTGGTCCTTACAAATATCCTTAGAAAGTCAGTAAGAGACGAGAGGCACAGTTTGTTGAGAAGAGAATTGAAGCCTGGAGTGAGGTTGAGTGCAGTGAGCTCCTGGAATTACTGGATGTGGAGTTTTACAATAATCTCCAAGACCAAAGGTGAGGTGTTTATTTCCTCTCTTCCCTGGAACAAGTCATGAGAATTATTTTCATTATTTCTTTCTATGTTTGCAAAAATGATATCTGACTTACAAATATTTGTTGGCAATATTCTAAAGTGCTACAAAAAAAAAAATTGAAAATCATATTCTGTGACCAAGCATGGTACTGAGATTTTTACAAAAGTGATTTTTGTTAGTCTCCAGAAGAATTTGATGAGGTAGGATTGTTATTCTTGCTATGTTACAGAGGAGAAAATTGAAGTATAGAGAGAACCAGTAACTGGTTCCGTGATCCATAGCTCATTAGGGATGGTGATAGGATTGGATCCCTGCTCAGCCCCTGCTTTTGAACACTACAAACTATACTGTCTCTTTTTAAGCCATTTCCTGTTTAGAAAAAAAAGCGAAGCTCACTGCCAGCATTAATTTAATTTTACATAAACATACTCTGAGGCTGAAGCAAATCTGACTGGTTTTCAATGTGAAAACAAAATATAAAAACTGTTCCTGGAGTTATTTCTAAGCAGGACTTTCTCTAATCCTAATATAATAGAAATGTATATGATGATCACTATTTAACAATTTTGTGTGTGTGTGGTAAATTTGAAAGCAGGGAATAACACAAAATGGATTATCACATTCCACACAAAAATATCACATTTCTCCCTGGATCTTCTTGTTATCCTTGCGTGAGCAGCAAACTTTGCAGTGACCAGTTGGATTCTGTTTTCCCGATGTTGGTGGTATGCTCTTGGGGGAAATGTCCCAGACAGATGAAGAGGTGTGATATCATCAGAGCACGGACAACCTTGAAGACATTGCTGCCCTGGCTAGTGATGCTTTTCCAGCATTCTTTCAATCAACATCAGTCTGAAATTTACATGGCTGATGGTGAGCTCAGGATTGTCCTTCTTGAACAGCATGTAGGAGTTCAGCACTGTAATGTTTAAAAGGTGGTGAAAGAATTTCTTATACCAAAACTTGTGCCTTTTGTGCTTAGTTAGATAAGTGAGCATCTGATCAGCTGAGTCCATTGCTCCCATATTCTCATAATGCACAATGACACATGGCTTCTTAGTTTTCTTTCCATTTCTGTTGTCTACTTCAACCACAGTATCATTGTGGATGTTGACAACATTGTCACCTCCTTCTTGTAACACCATTTCAGTGCCATAAGTTCACCACAGAATCTGGCTACAGACATCCCCTTTGCAATCCTTTTATTTTTTTTTTAGATCATTTAGTATCTATTCTCTGTTCAAATGAGCTGTCCCAACCCCATCAGTCCTGTTTTGATGTAATTCACTGAAAAGCATAAGAGATATATAAAAGTTATCAAGGAAGACACAATATGCTTGGCCAAGAAGGTCATTGATCAAGGTTAGAACAATGAATGACGATTTCAGACCATCAGCTGAATCTTTCAAATTCATATTGGGCCCCCTGTGAACAAGCATATTCCACATATAATCAGATTGACTTTTACAAAATACACATAGCCAGAGACCAGATCCTGCTCATTTTGTTGGGATGTACTGCTTCATAGCTAACCAGCCCTTGAACAGCATCAGTGATTCATCTACTGCAATGTTTCCATTTGGAGTATATACAGTTGAAAACTTATTTACAAGAAAGTTGAACACAGGATTGATCTTCTGCAATGAAATCTAGGTCTCTGATTGACCAGCAGATATAGGATTGTTGACAAAATGCAGGCACCAGAGCAAAGGTAAAACTCTTTCACCAGTCACAATTTGTCTGAGATAAGGTATATCCAAAAGAGGCCTTGTTGACCAAAACATCTCCAGCTCAAGTTTCTACACAATACCTTGAGGTAACATCACTGAAAAAAAGACTTTCAGTTCATCATTGACAGTGCCTTTCCATTTATCCAATTGCGAAAATCCTTTCGGACCAGGGGGCTTTGAAGCCAACAAGGCAGGTTGGGCATTCATTTCACTGGTAATTTTTGAAACTAATTCCTCAGTAAAGAACAGTTCAAAATACTGCAGGGCACCAGTGGTATCACTGACATCAACTTTTTTGCCAGTGTGCCAGTAAAGTCATACCTTTGAAGTCAAATTATAGCAAATTGACCATTGCAGAGTGCAACCTGAGCTGGTGTAGGGCTAGTTCCATCATATTGGAATCATCAGAGGCCTGACCCTATAGTGTTCTATGGCACTATCCAAAAAATCATCAGAATCATCTATTTTGGAAAAATTGGATACGTCAAATGCATCTTTGACTAACAACTGTTCAAGGACGATGTTAACACCACGAGTATGAATGCCACCTTTTCTAGGATTTGACATTTTCAAAGATAGAAAATTACTATATTTTGTCAATGGGAGTACCACTACTAAAAACAGAATGCTATGAGTAGAATGATGTCATTTGTTTCCAAAGACTATCGATATACTAGAGCATTGAGAAAATAATAATAAAAGTGAGATATTTCACGACAAACTTTGGGAATAAGGTTAGGACTGTAATCGATGAATTATCTCAGGGTAAATGCTGTAGCCACAAGTGCCACAAGTGAGTATTCTCAGGACAAACATGAAATGGGTTAAATGTAGCTTTTTTTTTTTGATTTTGCAAAACTATAAGTTAAGTCATTTTGCTTTGCTTATTTCTCTTCCATTCTTTTATTTTAGAAATACCATGTAAGGACAAGGATGAGGTATAAGATATTACAGATATGCTTGTGTTTTTAATATTAAGAACTGGTTAGTCCTATGGCTACCATGGTTACAGGATCATAGAGCCTTCCCCAACCTAAAAGTCTCAGAAATCCTTCTTGGCCTCTCAGCTCTTCATTTTAGAGATAGAGAAAATGTGGCCCACCACAGTGATGATAAGGGTCTCTGTTGTGATTATGTGCAAACATGGATGGCACTTACAAGGTCCCTGTGGCTCTGTAGAAACTGAGAAGCTTACTTTTTATTGCTTTAATTACATTAGAAGTATGAAGATTCAGGGAATAGTTCAATGATTAATTGTTCAAATTAAGACTCTGCGATAGTTCTCCTGATAATAAAGAATAATATTCTATTCTTCTGGCAGCTGCTCTCTTTTCATTTAAATAATATTAACTTTGTCTTAATAACTATTCTATTCAAACATGGCTTATTACAAGAGTAATATTCTATTCTCTTGGAAGCTCCTTTTTTTCACTTAAGTAAAATTCATTTTGCTTCAATAATTGTCCTCTTTGAACATGGTTTATTCATTCTTCATCTTTGGCAAAATCAGCCAAGAACCTTGTTAAAAAGACAGCTTCTTAATCTCCATTCCCAAAAACTCTGTTTCTGACATTTTGAGTTGAGGTCTAGAGGTCTATTTTAAACAAATCCATCAGAATAGTTTGATGTTAGAAGACTGCAGATCATACTGTGAGAAATAGCATTTTACCTTGTTGGTACTTATAAAGAAAAAAAAAATTAGGCTAATTTTGAGACTATTACAGCTGAAAAGCAGGCTTTGCTTAAACTGAAGGTGTTAATGGCTGGGCAGAAAAAGAAAACAGAACAAAGTTTGACCTACATGAGATAAAGTAAATTAAATAGAAAATTGACATTTTAATTTCAGAATCATAATTTGCTAACCTCTTTGTTCTATGTATAAAAATGACCAGAAACATGCATTAATCAAGAGGCTAAATACCAATATTTGTAGTATTCCTAGAAACAGTTAACATGATATTCCTATTTCCATATATGACCCAAGTGGATCCAGGGCTAGCACGTAGTTATCCTAACTCCTCATCTTTCTACAACTTTCCAGTTGCAGAGTTGTCCATAATCGAAAGCGCATTACAATTCAATCTATATTCCCTTACTTTACCTAAGAAATTAAAATCAAAGAACTTATATCATAAGATGTGGTGCTGTGTCAATAATTCTTGGTTAGAAACATGACTGATCTTTGCTGAAGAGAAAGTAGGTTTGGGTCATAGATTTGTATTATGGCAGTTACAACTAACAATTATCAATAAACTATCAACTTTCTTCTAATTTTTCTAATTTCAGAGATTAAATGTAGCCTCCCACAGTTTATAAATGGAATCCGGAAGGAGTTGGAAGTGAGCAAAGTATTTCGTTATGGAGATAACGTAACCTTGAGGTGTAAAGATGGGTATACTTTGGAAGGCAGTCCCTGGAGCCAGTGCCAGGCAGATGACACATGGGACCCTCCTCTGGCCACATGCACACCTCGTAAGTGCAAGTACAAAGAATGTGCATCCTTCCCAGTAATGGTACTGTTCATTCATTCATCCATACTATTATCAAATATGGTGTGATGTTTATAGCATGTGGTAAGGGATAAGGAGTGCAATAGAAGTCCCTAATTCTTCTCCAAAAGTCCTCAGCAATGAGAGTCAGGCCAGCCTTGCTCTCCTCACTCTTCTCAACCCATTCATCTCTCCCAGGGACTCCCTATGGATCTTTTTTGTCTGTATCACTGTATTGTTGCATGCATTCCACAGGAATGATTTGTTTATAGCCTGGGAGCCTTAAAAGTCAAGAGCACATCAGAGACAGAGCAAGCCTTATTAACCAATGTCACCCCAATAAATTTAATAAAATAAAAAGTTATTAAAAAGAATGTTTTCAACATGAGTCAGGAAGCACCTTCCAAGCTGCAGAAACCAGCTGCTAGGTTTGCCTCATGCAATTTTAAACGGGTACAATAGGTACAGCAGATTTAGAAATCATATGTCATCGAGCCCTGTAGAAGAGCAGCCCTCTGTTGGCAACTAGAGGGTAATGTAGATAGAAAATCCTAATCCCTGAACTTGTACAAGGCAAAGAGCTGATGAGCAAAACTAACAATAAGTAACTTTTCTTAATCCAAGTAAGTGCTACGTTGCTCCCCAATACATTCTTATCACTCTTATTTATAAATATTTGAAAACCAAGATTGTTCAAGATACAATTTTTTTTACAGTTAATCCCTTAAACATTCTAGCTAATCAGATTTACAAATAATACGTCCACATTGTAAACTCGATACTCCTTTAATATCAAATTATGTTCACTTCTTCGGCAAAAGCTCACTGCCTAACTGAATGAATGCCTTTGGAGCATTCTGACGATGAAGCTGTGAAATACAGAAAATTCACGTAATTGGGAAACTACCCTACCAGATATTAAGACAAAATATAAAGCCACAATACACAAATCACTTTATAACAGTGCAAAAATACTTATTTTTAAAAATAAGTGGAAAACCTGATATTAATAAAATAAAGGTTATAAACAAAAATAAAGGTATCTTATGAATAAAATATAATAGCTGAGACATCCTCAATCCATGTGGAAGAAAAAAATGACCAAATAATATAGATAGCATTGAAAAAATTTAGAATTTTTCTTTTTATTTTACAATAAATACCAGATGTTATAAAAAGTTAAAAGTTTCAAAAGTAAACATAGAAAGCCTAATATAAAAAAATAAATAAAAGTTTACCAAACCACTAGAAGGCTAACTTTTTAAACTTTTTGATGTGATAGAAAAAGTCGTAAAATATCAACAAATTTGACTTACAACTTATGTATGTACTTGAAAAGTAAATAAGAAGGCAGTCAACAGATAAGAAATATGTGAAAAATATAATGAAGGGTTAATAGTGTTATCATATGAGTAGCAGCAGTGATGGGTGCGGTGGTAGTAATGGTTGTAAAAATTAACATATATTGAGCACTTAATTTCACTGTGCAAAGATGAGATGGATATAGAGATTTTATAAGTATGTAAAAACTGATGCATGGGAACATGTACCAGAAGGAAATTTACCAAAGCACTTCACGGTAGTAAGATTAAGTGTGGTACTATTTTTTCTTCTGTTTTATAAATTTTTGCTGTGATTTTATTACCTTTATGATAAAATATTAAGTTAAAAAGAAATAAAACAGACTACTGAGTTTATAAGATAAAAATGAGATTATCTGAGTAAAACCAATGGTTTTTCTTTCATATTAGAAAAAAAATGGACACTGTACTGATAAAAATCAGGATAAATTTTTCCAGGCTGAGAGCTCCTGTTTAATCATGTTAAGTGCTACAATGATGCATCTGTGGCCTTTGTCTTCCTTTTAGGCTCACATAATGGTTTCATTGTTGGTAAGTTCTGTAAAGGGTTTGCTGAGGAACTCTAGAATTTTTAACAGTAAGTATTCACTTATAATGAATGAAATGTTATAAAAGATCAAAATATCTTACGTTGCTACTTCATTAGAAAGAAAATAGTGATAAACTCAGGCCATGATACGGCAAAACTGATATCCTCATATACATATAGAGTGAGTGTTTTTTTATCAAGTGTTCTTATACTATCTTTGAACCATTACAAAGGAACAATCATTTATCTTATTTTATTGTAGCTGGAGAATACAACTAGTAATAATCTTCAGGTTGGTATTGTGCCCATTTGCACAAAATGGAAGTCACAAAAACCAATTTTCAAGCCAATTTCTGTGATCTGCATATTAAAGAGGAATAGTTTTATGATACAATTTCCTTCAAAGGCAATTGGTTTAGTCTGTTGTATAGAATAGCTCTTACCTGTGCCTTACACAAGAGATATGTGCAGAGCATGGAGAGCTGGAGCCCAGGACCTCCAGAGTTGTTCTAACATACTTGCTGAAAGCCTGCTCAGTTGGACTAAAGGTCACGAAACAGCTCTGCTCACCCCTCATCTATAAACCCATGGTAGTAACACAAATGCCCTATACTAAACAAGGAGCGGAGGGGATATCTTAAAGATAATCCATGTGAAGGTGTTTTTAAAGCAGAATTTATAGTTACACTTTTAAAAATCATTGGCAACCTCTGGAGGGACTAGATATCAAGGTAGAGTTTAAAATCTATGGGTTATGTTTTCCATGCTTTTAATTACCTTATTTTACTGCCTAGGCATGTCCTTTGGTGTGCCCATCTTTATTGTATCCATCCTTATTTCCTGTTGGATGATTCTAAAGTGCAAAAAAGTGTAAGTACAGCCATATTCTCCTAGAAAATATTTATTACTTTGTTTGCCTTCTCTTGGAAGCCAAAGAGAAGTAAATGAAAAAAAGAAAAAACCTACTACTTATACAGATGTAGTAATTCTTATAAAAAAGACCTTTGATGCACATTATGCATAGAGAAGTATTCACATTAAAATAAATATATGTGATACTAAGAATACCTTTTTTTTAAAAGCTTAGAATTTTAAGAAGGAATCGAGTTTTACAAAAGAGAAAATAGGCAAAAGGAATTTTTCCAAAGGTGTTGATGAGGCAGTTTTGCTGAGACATTCCAGACTTCTACTTCTACACACAGACCCTATATGGAAACTGAAAGATAGATAGCATGTCCCACATATGTCACAGACTGCCAGTGCGAAATACTTGAGGATTTGCTTTGGGTATTAGAAAAATAAATCTTTTATAAACACCACTTACTTTCTAAACTTGCAAAAATGTTGCAAGTTTTAAGATCTAAATAAAGAAACATTTTTCACTGAGAAGAGAAAGTACACAACTTTTGCATTAGTTGGTTTAATTATAATAAAATCAGTGATGTCAAAGTCAAAGAGATCAATGTTATAAGCTTGATTAGCAAGTTCTAGGCTGACGAGAACCAATGTATAAATTTAGATGAGCAGTTTTCTAAACAAATGCAGTCTCCTAAGAAGTATTATAGAAATTGAAGTTCTAATATTTCACCAAGGATGCCAATATAAACTTTTTAAAAGCAGAATATCACAGCAGGACTTCTCGCAAACAATCTGGTCACTTCCTCCTTCTCCCCCACTTTGAATTCCCCACATTCTATTAACTTATCTCTTATGTTCTTAGTCTCCACTACATTCCTTACCATGCCCCTCCCCAGACAGTGAGCTCCTTGTAATCAGAGACCACCTATAAGCACTCAAAATCTAACGATTTTTGACCTCTACTTGTACAGTAGTTAACATTAACAATGAGAATAGCAAAAGCTAATATGTTTGTTTATATAATGCTTTACCATTTATTGTCTTCTTTAATCCTCAAAGCGACTCAGTGAGGTAAGTAGGTCCAATAACATTGTTATCCTAAGGCAGAGAAGACTGAGATTCAGATAAATTTAGCAACTTGCTTAAAATCATACCAGTAGGAAGTTGTTAAGAATTAAGGCTTTAATCCCAATTATCTGACTCAAAATCTTAGCCTTGCTAACCTAAAAATAAAAGGACTTTCAAAGTGAGAATCAACAGCATTTATTTGAGATCAAAGAACCACTATTTCGGTCACACTGATTCAGAAGCTCAAATAATGTTTCCATTAGGAGACAAAGGCCAGGGGTACTTATGAGAAAGGGAAGGGGAACGATTACATCTTAAGAAGGAAGGCATTTCTATAGGCGCAGATAAAATAACATAGTGATGTTTATTCTAAAGAATGTCTTTAATTTCTAATCTGGTAGTCATCAGTCCTGTAGCCATAATATCTGCTGTGGCTATAATATTCTGCTTTTTTGTTATCTTTGCAAACAGTTCTTTGGGGCATAATACTGCTTTATGTTCAGTCCAAAAGTTATTTTACCCTATTTTAACATTCCAAAGATTTGAGCTATAAGACATGCAAGGCAATTCCTCTGGAATGGCAGCTCTGGCTTCATTTTAAAGTAGATGTGTGTGTGTGTGTGTGTGTGTGTGTGTGTGTGTGTGTGTGTGCGTGTGCGCGCGCGCGCGCGTATGCTTCATATGACCAAAAAGCTATCCAAGAGTCATCCAGAAGCCCACCCAGAGTTACCTCTTTTAAACGAAAAATGTTCCTAGTGCTCTTATCACTTAAAATTATACAAGGATTTCAGGAGATCTGTACCAGAAACTGGGGCAGAAACAATGTACATTTTCTATTATCACATAACCACCATTAACCAACTGGATAGGCATTTAACATTACTCACTCACATGGAGTGTATTCTCTTACACCTCATATGCCATTCATCATTCAAGACCATTTTCAGGCCATTAATTATCTAACTACATAGTCTCTACCCCTTGGGAGCCCATCCCACCTGGTCTTCCTTCCTTCCTCTTGCATAGATCTCAAGTTTGCCCACCCTCACCCTGTGAAAACTCTGGCTCTTGACTCATAGTCTTCTTCTTTAGTCTCAAGTGATGCCCTCATTTTAGTTTCCACGAGAGAGTAAAGAGTGAGTAATAAGGAAGTAGAGGAAAGTGGTGGAGTGAGTTAACTCTTTAGTTATTATATTCCTAAACCAACGCACACTTGAAATCTAAAGACACTGGTATTATTTATCATTTTATTTATATAAAATGAAGTATTTATTAAATAACCCCAAAAGAGGCTGAGTAGCACTGTAGGAAAGGCCACGGGCTTTGTGATCAGTAAGGCCTGTGCTCACACTTAATATCTTTGAGACTCTGAGCAAGATACTTATCTTCTCTAAACTTCATTTTCATTGTAAAATAAGGATAATAATAGTCCCTACCTTGCTTAACACAAAGTCTCACTTATAATGACTGTTAGAAAATGTTAGCTTTTATTATTTATACATGACTGTTGTTATTGACATTTAAAAATGATAAACACTTTTTTTTACTGTCAGTTTTCATTTACCTTCATGTTGCTCTCTTAACTGTGGATATTAATTGTGAAAAATACAGAACTTATATCTTAACTATAAGGGAAAAAGGAAGCCCTTGAGTAAGATGGCAATATAAAGCCATTTACATAGTGAGGTTAAATATTACAATCTTGTAACAGTATTTACTAATCAATATTACTTTGGAAATAGAGAAATGTGTTGTTTTAAAGCATGGACATTTGTCTATAAGTAATTTAAAGTTCTAACACAACATATGGGATGGTTTTAGTATTATTTCTTAATCCAAGTTTTTACTTAATCTTGAAAAGTGAGATTTAGTTATGTTTTTATTTTTAGATATTTTACAAAGATTTCAGAAACCTGAGGCAAATATGCCCTAAATTTCAAAGTGAAAACTACTGACTAATTTCTTTCAAAACTGAAATGTGTATAATTAACTTATTTTTCCTATCTTTTTCTCTCTTGCCAATTAGCCATAATACAGATGAAAAATCTAAAGAAGTGGATATCTATTTACATCCTCAAGAAGGCAACTGTGATCATGCTCAGTCCCTCCAAACAAATCAGGAAAATAGGAGGTACTTGATACACATATTGAATTCAGAATGTTTTCGACAACTCAAAAATCAAAAATGGAAAATGAGATTTGAATACGATGTTTCATTGATATCAAAGAAATTAGAAAGTACTTCAGAAGTCGGAAACACCTTTGTTGTTATTTTTTCTTGGATTATCTTTGTGCCATGCACAGGCACTGCTTTTCAAAGCATCCCTATATTTTTGTACATTTATGCTATGAACCTTTGAACATTTCTTTTTTTATGGAACCCAAGCATTTGTCACTTGGGTGTGCCTCTAAGTCCTTCAGTTCCCCTTAAATGTGCAGAACCTCTTAAGGATCCTGTGGAGACTTTCGCCTTACCTTTTTCCCTGCTTTCTGACTCTTATTGAATTCTGTCACCCACCTGGCTTCCTATGACTGCTCTCTCTTTTCTGTCCTCCTCGACTTGGGCTTGTTACCATAACCTATCTTTTCATTCCACCTATTCAAAGTAGCATTGCCATAAACTGTTGTGTAGTAAATGTTTACCCGTTTGCTAAAAGTTTGGGCCGAAAGGGGAAATTACACTATAACATAGTGGCACGTGACATAAAATTAAATACTGGAAATCACTGAACTAAAAAGTAACCATTTTTGTAAATGAAGTTTTACTAGAACACAGCTACACCCACCCGTTTCCCTACTGCCTATGGCTGCTTTCACACCATAAGAGCAGAGTTGAATACACTGGCTGCCCCCACCCGCAGGGTATACATTCAAAGACCCCCACTGGATTCCTTATACTGTGGATAGTACCAAACCTTATATATACTATGTGGGGTTTTTTTCTATACATATGTACCATGATAAAGTTTAATCACTTTCCATTATAACTATGCACTTATCATGCACTGTGGCCCTAACTTTTTACAGTTTGAGGAGTGACAGCAAAACTAGCCCAATTTTCTTTTTCCTTCTTTATAATTTTACCCATAGAAGATTTATTCTTCCCGTGGATCTTAGTAACCTCAAAATATGATTTTTTTCTTTTCTGAAGTCAAAATCTTTTACCTTTTCACATAAAAGAAGCACTTTAAGCTTCTCTTTGGCGTATCGAATTGCCAGCATCACTACTCTTGCACTTTGGGGCCATTATTAAGTAAAATAAGGGTTACTTGAACACAAGCACTGTGATACCATGACAGTCGATCTGATAACCCAAAGGGCTACTATGTGACTAGTAGGTGAGGAGTGTTTACACGTGAATACGCTGGACAAAGGGATAATTTATGTCCAGGCAGGATGGCACAAGATTTCACCATGTTACTCAAAACAGCTTGTAATTTAAAACACGAATTATTTATTTCTGGTTTTCTTTTTAATATGTTCAAAGTGTCGTTGACCATGCATAACTTAAACTGTGGAAGGCAAGACCATGGATAAGGGGGAATGACTGTAGATGCCACAGAGATTCAGAGACTGTGTGGCACACAAAGCCAAAATATTTATTATCTGGACCTTAAGAGGAAAAGTTTACAGAAGCCTGAACTATATCACACTATGAGGATTTTCTCACTGGCCAGTCTTCTTTAAACTTTGGTTTTCTACCTTTTCTCCAAGCCTCTCTCACATTAAACATTTGTCCTTTCTGTCCCAATCTTTAGTACATTTTCAGGGTACCTCATTGCAACTTTTGGTTTTCTTGTAAATTCAAAACTGCATTCCATCCAGCCCTTGCTTACTCTGGCTTGCCCAGGAGTCTTACAATTTCCTATCCAGAAGATCCCCAGGGTATTTTCAGAAACAAAAGCACAAAGAGCCCT